GCCCAGCAAGCTCAGGGCAGCTGCCTTTCAAGGGACAAGCTGGTTTCCATGCAGCCATCACAGCTGGCTTTGGGATCTGGGCTTTGGGCCAGCTGTGATCCCATCATTTAGCACAGGGATGGAGGAAGGGGACTCACGGTGCCATGTCCCTACCTGTAGTCCTGGTTTCCTGTGGTCGATGAACCTCAGCACAGAGTCTGCACTGGCCACAGAGATGCTGTGATAGGGAGGTGGCATGGTGGTCACAGCTGTGATGGGCACTTTGCTGTCTAACTCATCAAAGGTCCGCAGAAGCTTGCCTGTGAAAAGATGACAGACATTACAGCAGGGCAAGTCACACAGCAAACCTCCAGCTCTGTGCTGGTTTTTAACAGGAGCCACCCAAACTCAGCACAGCCCTGCCTGTAAGGGCTGGACCAGTTCACTCCAGCTCCTCACCCTTTCCCTCCTTACCCGTGAACTGGTCCCAGATGTGCACGGTGCCATCACAGCTCACCACGTGCTGCGGTGCCTCCAGCTGGCTCACGTAGAACACTGACTTCTTGTGCTCGGCGTAGGTGAAGCGCGGGGGCACCTCGCTGGTGCCATCCCCGTAGTTGTACAGCGGCCAAAGCCTCACTGTCTTGTCCTTGCTGCCACTCAGGAAGAAATCCTCGCTGCCCAGCGGTGCCACGCACTTGATGGCCCCGGAGTGCCCTGAGAAACTCTGCAGCTTGATCTGGTGGAAGTGGAAGCGGGGGTCGTGCTGGCTCACCCCGATCTCGTACTGCCAGTAGGCCAGCCAGTTCCCACAGAGCATGTGGGTGCTGCGGGGCAGGTCCTGCTTCAGGGCACTCTCCTCGCTGCAGGAGCTGGGAGTGAATCCATCAGTGCCAGCACTGAGGTGCAGCAAGCCCAGGCCCTCCCGCTGCGTGTCCACGGGCACCTGGATGCGGTTCCCCACCAGGACACTGCCAAAAGTGCCAGAGTGAGTGTCCTCCTGGGGGCTGGAGAAGGGCTCAGCCCCTCGAGGGTCCTGCTCTGAGCCCACCACACTCGGTGCTTGCTCCAGGCCAACAGCCTGCAGGTTCTGGGGGTTCACGTTCTCCAGGTGGAGGCTGGCCAGCTTCTCAACCAGAGAGTGGTTGGGCACAACCGTGCGGATAACGTCACCTGAGGAGACAGGGACAGTGTGGCTGCAAGGCAAGCAATGTCCCCATCATCATCATCATCATCATCCCCTCCATACACTGGGATGTGGACACAGCATCCCCCAAATCAGCTACATCTGCTCCCAGCCAAGGCAGCCTGAAGTTCAGAGAGCTCCCAACCCAAGAACCAGCCCAAGCCATGCTGCAGAAGCTGTGGGTTTCCCCCAGCAGCCCTGGGAGCTGTGATTGCCCTGGAGTTCAGACCCAGCACGCATGCCCAGAGCACAGAGCTCCCTCAGGGGAGCTCCAGATCCCTGGAGCTGGTGGCCAAGGCATACCCAGCAAGCAGGAGAAGGGGATGTAGGTGATGTAGGCCATTTCAGGGTTGAACACCTTCTGTAACTCCACCAGCACGGATGGATCCAGGGCCAGCAGCTTCCCATCTGAAAGGGGCACCTCCATCACTGGCACCTCACAGCTGCTCAGTGACTCTGCTGTCAACCCCTGGACAAAAAAATCAAGGTCAGATAAACCCCAAGATGAGATGCTCTTACCACACAAACACAGCCAGGTAGGCCCACCACATTCCCACACCTGGGGAAGTGCAGGAGGACTTCTCCCACACCACTAACCTGGTCCTGCAGCTCCTGCAGCAGCGAGAATGCCCCAAAGAAGTTCCTCACTGTGTCACTCAGGTGCTGCTGCACCATCTCCTGCCCAATCCTCAGGCAGATCAAGGCAATGAGGCTGATTGTCTTCACACACAGCACAACACGGGCCTGGGCTCCACTGGGGAAACTGAAGAGGACATCCATGACCCCATGCCCTCCACAGATCCCTTTTTTCCATCCTCTGCCTCATGCCTCCTGCCTTTTCTGTGTCACCAGAATGCTTCCAGCAGTGCAGGGAGATGCACACCCAGCCCTGGCAGCATTGATGCCCCCACAGAACCATTCCCAAATCCCTGATTTTGTGCCAGTCCTGCAGCGCTTACCCGACAGCTGGTGAAGTGAGGAAGCCCAGCACTGGGAGCAGCACCTCCTGGCTGATCTTGGGCAGGATGTCCATCAGTGTGGTGTCAGAGAGACACACCACAATCTTCTGTGTCAGTGTCACAGCAGCCAGGAGCCCGGCCTCCTTCCGGCTGTTGAGCCGCACGCCGCCGGAGCCGCCGCCGGGCGCAACCTGTGACAGGGACACCCTCAGTGCCAGGGCCACCACCTCCCCAGAAGGACACAGCAAAGGGACCCCAGGGCCACCTGAGCTCAGCCTCAAACCCAGCACAGCACTGCTGAAGAGGAACCTGAACATGGGATCTCAACAGCAAAGGGATCAGTCCTAAAACTGACAGGCACCCATCAGCACAAGTGATGAGCCTGCAGAAAATGGGGGATGACACCCCTAAGCTCACAGATTTCCTCTGCAGATACAACATCCCCACAAATGGGAAGCTCAATAGCAAGATCAACAACCCCACACTGGCCCACACCACCCTGGACACCCCAGAATATTATTTACCCGCACAGAGGGGAAACCCTTACATTTTAAAAGCAAAAATCAGTGTCTTCATCCCACAGTCTGCAGAGGAACAGTCCTTGCACGAAATATCCAAACACAAATGATGGGCAAACCTGCTGCTGACTTCTAGAAATCCAGCTGCTAATAATTTCATGAGGCAGAACTGCACATCCTTTTTCTGCTGACAATGTACTGCTGCTGTTATGGCAGTGCCAAAGAGTTAATAACATCAGCAGCAACACGAAAATATTTCTTCCTAGATTGTCCTATTTCCTAACTCCTAGACAAATCAAACACCCAAGAAAAAGAGAGCCAGTAACAAAACCCACAGACAATTCCCAGTTCCTGCTATATTTCTTGTACACCTGCCATCTTCCAGCTCATCACAGAGGCTCTTCCTCTCACAAAATAGCCACCCTGCCAAATCCTGCAAGAAGGATTGACTTTATCCTATTTGTGACCTGCCAGTTGCATGGCTCCAGTATCAGGTTGCCAAATGCTGTTTCACAGGGGTATTTAATCCCCTCTGTGCCCCCAAGCAATGAGCTTAGGAAAGCAAAGCAGAACAGCTGGAGCTATGATTGCAACTGGGTGGAGAATGATTTTTGCTGAAAAATGGGATTTTTTCCCCTGAAAAATCTCCCCTTCAACACTGGAAAAACTGACAATGCCTTTTTGTTTTCTTTAAATGAACAGCTGTGGCCTCTTTTCCTCTATGTTTAAATTATCAGAAAGCTACTGAAGTTTTCCATTTAAACGAGAATCCATAACCAAAGTGTTTACAACCACTAAAGAGGGAACAATATGAAAAATAAGCCTGTTTAAAACATTCAAACCCTTTTTCTTTTTAATGAAAAATTAAGTTTTTTCAAACAGCTGCATTATACATTTCCTTCTTGCTACGAACTTCAAGCTGAAAAGTTGGTGAGCCTTGCCAGTGCTTTTTATTCAGTTAAAAACCAGTTGGTCTCCCCCCAGTTCAGCCCTATCTACCCACACAGACCTCTGGGAACACTCACTCCAGCAATCTCACAGCAGCACAAGCTGCTCCTCCTGCCTGTTATCACAATCCCACCCTTGTGCCAGCTCTGCCTGGGCACAGAAAAGCAGAATAAATGCTTTTTCTCTGCTTCCACAAGGTCTGACAGTGAAAGAAGGGTATGAACACAGCTGTGTGCTTTACTGGGAGCAGGCTGGAGCTTGTGGCAGGAGGTGACAGTGCCTCTCCTGCCCTTCTCAGCCAGCACAGCCAGAGCTGCTCAGCCCATACTGGCCCAGCCAAGCTCAGTTTACACACAAAAAGCTCCTGGTGAGGCTGGACTATTATTTTACATTTTTTCTTTGTGCCTGGACACAGCTCTTGCCCCAACAGAGAGGAGGAAAAGGCAATACTGACCAGGTAGCTGATGTAGGGCAGGTACTGGTAGGTGAGGACAGGCTCTCCATACAGATATGCCACGTGCACGAGGCAGGCCAGCACTGGCTTGGACACCTGATCTCCCAGCACAGGCCGCTTCTGGTAGATGTTCCCTGTGCTCAGGGGACTGTTCTCATCACTGCTCGCTACAAACTGCTGCCTGGTAGGACCTGCCCAGAGAAAAACACATCAGGAGCTGAAGCAGCAGCCACACCCAAGCAGAGAGGCTGAGGGGACAGCCCATCCTCTGTCACCATCATATTTGCTGAAAAATCCCTTTGCCAGGATTTTTTCCCCTGGGAAGTTGAGAGAAAAATGTAAATTGTAATTATCTGATTGTCTTCTCCTGTGTTTTGCTGTTTTGGAATGTGGTCTGGATGTTGTTTACCAACAGGTGCATGTTTGATTGGCTCCATGTGAATTGTGTTAACTTAATCACCAATCACAGCCAGCTGTGTCGAGGCTCTGAGGAGCCACAGATTTTTATCATTCATTCTTGTTAAGCCTTCTGATGCATCCTTTCTCTATTTCTTTAGTATAGTTTCCTTTTGATATGTCCTTTCTCTGTTTCTTTAGTATAGTTTCCTTCTGATGTATCTTTCCTCTATTTCTTTAATATAGTTTATTTCTGATGTGTCCTTCCTCTATTTCTTTAGTATAATTTCTTTCTGATGTATCCTTCCTCTTTCTTTAGTATAGTTTCCTTCTGATGTATCCTTCCTTTATTTCTTTAGTATAGTTTTAGTATAGCATTCATTAATATAATATAATATCATAAAATAATAAATCAGCCTTCTGAGAACACGGAGTCAAGATTCTCATCTCTTCCCTGGTGCTGGGGACCCTCACAAAGCCCAAGCCCTGTGCCCTGGGGAGGCATTACCGACGTAGCAGGAGGTGAGCAGGCGCAGCAGGTTCCTGGCGATGAAGCGGGACGTGACGGTCGGGCCCAGCTTGGCCGAGAGCCACCTCACCATCTTACAGGCTGTGTCTGCAAAACAACAGCAGCCCCAAGGACACGGCACAGATTAGCTATCTAGCACTCTAGCAGTCCCTGCTGCCCCAGCCCTGACTCTCAGAGCCACCCACATGCAGTCCTGGCCTCCCACCCTGGTTTCATCGCTGTCCCCAAGCTGGGACTACAAACACTCCCAGATCTGGATCTGCTTCTCCCCAGGCTCTGCCCAACAGCCAGGACACTGGCAGGGTCTTACCCAGCAGTATGGTCTGCTCTTTGTCATCAGAGTGATCTGGCAGCTCCTCTCCCTCCCCGTCCTCTGGCTCGCTGCTGTCATCAGCCAGGGTGACATCCACAGAGGCCCCAGCAGCGTCCACGACCACCGTCAGCTCCGCATCCACCACCGCGTCCTCCTGCTCCTCTTCCTCGTGCTCCTCTTCCTCCTCCTCTGACTCCTCGCTCTGCTTCAGGTCCTGGCTGCTGTCCATGGACTTCAAGCTGCTCTTGTCCTTCTGGGAGTCCCCGTCTGCAGGTCTGTCCTCGCCCAGGGACACCTCGCTGGCGCTGCTCTTGTCACTCATGCGGCCGAGGCTGAGCGACTCCTGCTCCTGGGGCTGCAGGGATTCCCCCACGTAGAGGCCACTCTGGAAGTCCTCACCCTCGGGCAGGTAGGCCTGGTCGTGGAAGCTGACCCCAGAGGTGTAGTCCAGAAGGTCAAGGGCAGCAGAGCTGTGCTCCACGTCCATCTTGATCTCCTCCCCAAACACACACGACACCGGGCTCTCCCCTCCACTCTCATCATCCTCAGCAGTGCCCAGGAAGGATTTGCTCTCCTCCCGCGAGCTCTCGATGCCCACGAGGATCTGCAGGATGTGGGGCAGCAGGTTCAGGAGGAAGGGCTGCAGCCCCAGGCGCACAATCAGCTGGGCCACAAAGCAGTCTGTGTACAGGTAGAACCTGCCGTGGCGGGAGCAGGGCGTCTCGTAGGCTCCGATCAGGGGCTTCAGCAGGTATTTGTTGGCATTCTTGGGCCCCAGGGATTTAGCTATGGGCTCAAAGAGGTACCACGCCGCGTAGACAGCGGTGTTCTCCTCGGACATCAGAGATAATATGAAAGGCAGAAGAATCTCCAGGCCCTCGGGAGTGATTTCAGCAAGGATCCCCTCCAGCTGCTGCCACAGCTGGAAAACAAGCTCCCGGCCTTGCCCTTCATCCTCAATCTTCTTTGCCTGATAGGTGAAAATGAACTTGTGCAGAGCTGGGAAGTACGTGGGGAAGGGGACAATGGAGCTGAAGGGGCTGAGGAGCTGCGTGGGACAGGGAGGGGGGAGGCCCTGGGAGATGGGTTTGTACTCAAACAGCTGCACTGTGCCCTTGCCCATTCTGCTCTTCAGCAGCTTCTCCACGGGCATGCTGAGCTGCAGCAGGACATGCAGCACGTGCTGCAGTGGGGCCGGGATCTCCTTGGGATGGTAACGGCAGAGGTTCCTCACCATCAGGAACCGCTCCAGCAGCGACGCGTCGGGCTTGGAGGGACGAAGCCTCGGAGCAAATATAATCTCAGCTACCAGGATGCCCAGGGCTTGCATGTCCCTCTGGAAGAGGTCTGAGAGACCCAAGGGTGGCTCTTCCCACGGCTGCTCCATCGGCTGCATCTCGCTGCTTAAGCCTCTAACCAAGAAATTGTCCAGTTTCTCCAGTTCCTCCAGGGCCTGGAGCGGGTTGAAGCCTTCAGGAAGAGTGATCTTCATGTCCAGCTGATCCCCAGCCCCTGCCTTGCTCCGACGGAGCGGTCGGACCCCTGAGGATTTCCCATCAGTGACATAGGCAGGGAGGGTGGAGGGCTGTGCTGGAGGCACAGCACCACAGGGCTGGTCAGGGGCTCTCCCAGGAGCAGGAATGGAATCCAGGGCTTCCGTGCCTTGCTCCAAATCATCCTCACCAGCCAGGGGTTTGTCCCCAGACCAGGTGGTTTCACTGGGAGTAGCCTCCAGGACCAGCCCATTGACTGCATCTGTCACCTGGCCTTGGATGTCCTCCAAAACCACAGTCTCACGGATGTTCTGCAGCAGAGGCCTGGCAATGGCTGGAGCTTCAGCAGGAGTGTAGGCAGGTCCCACCATGCGCCTGGGATGGGGCTGGTCAAAGAGCTGCACCACCCCGTAGGTCGTCAGGTGCGTGTGGTTGTCCACCAAGTGGAGGCAGACGTTCTTCTCCTTGACTGCATCCTTCCCCAGCAGCTTGTAGCCAAAGGTGAGATCAATCCAGTGGTGCAGGTCCTGGGAGACCTCCCGGCTCTCCAGCAGCATGCGGTGAACTTGGATGAACTCCTCGTAGGAGCTGCACCACGAGGGCACATCCAGGTCGGGCATGTCGGGGTGGATGGAGCGGAAGATGGAGGGGTCAGTGTAGAACTCTGGGATGCACTCGTCGGGTGTCCAGCTCTGCATGCGCTCCATGCTGGCTGGGTACTCGTTGGGCTCCCACTGGGACCTGACGTGGCAGCACAGCACTGCCTTGGGCGTCCTGCGGGCCGTGTACACGTAGTAGGTGATGTCTGAGAGGACGTCTGAGATGTGGTGGGGGACGTGGAGCTGCTCCCCACTCGAGCCCCCCGCGACAAATGCCTGCTTGGTCATCTCGTAGGTGAAGTCCAGCTGCTTGTCGCCCTTGTTGAGGCGGAACTTGGATTTCCTCAGGTCCCTGAACTTGCCGTTTTTGGTAGTGAAGTCCACCACCCACGGGAGAACAGGGTGGTAATTGGGGTCTCCCATTCTCCTCCCAGCCAGGCTGTTCAGGCGCATTAAGTAATCAAAGTTGCTGACCTGCCCGTGCACCCACTGCAACACCAGGTCTTGGAGGTCCTTCTGGCAGGCACTGCATGTCACCTCCCGCCTCTGCACCCAGCTTTGCTTGCTTTCTTGTTCCAGACCACCCTCCAGATTCTCCTCCTCCCCTGGTCCCTCGTACCCTCTGAAGTTCACACGCAGCCGGCTGCATAGCTTCTCATCCACAGCCACATCCCGAAGGGAGAAATCCCCACAAGCCAGACCCGCCTGGTGACAAGCCCTCATGGCCTGCAGCACGTGGAAGAGGAGGAAGAGGATCTTGGCGTGGCTGTTGGTGAGCTTGGCAGGGCTGAAGGTCACGATATCATGCAGGCAGTACTGCACATAGGGGTAGATGACATACAACATATCAGCCGACTCCAGCAGCGCCTCAGCCTGCAGCACATTGGGACACAAGGACGCCGCTTTGGCCACGTTCTCCTTGGCAGGGGACGTGCCAGGCACGTTCCTGCCCAGCTGGAGGATGGGACAGCCATAAACTCTGTGCAGGGCAGCCCTGAGTGCCTCCAGCGCCGGCACCGTGGGCGGCGGATCCGGGC